GGGGGGGGGATCGACAGTTTAATAAGAAAAGGTGATGCCAGTTTTTTTCTTTTCAGCTTAAAGGAATTGTTATATTTACTACTTAGTTCTGATGTGTTTGTATGTTGATTACGCAAACTTATTTTATTTACCAGCTATTGAAAGAGTTCAGCTGGAAGTGTTTTCATGAATTCAGAAATTGTGAATTGAACTGTGAATCATTTGTGATTTGTTTCTCTTCACCTTCTTTTCAGCACAGCGTTGTTCGCTCTTTTTCTCCTTACAGCACTGGCTGTATTCTCTCTCGAGGACATTGATGGCCTTCGATTGACGGACCAGCCAGCCGTAGCCAGTGCGAGGAAGACACTTGGGCATGTATCGTGGTCGGATCTTGTGATGAGTGCAGATATGTGCTACGTTGGAGGAATCGGGACGGCCAGGTGGAAAGCTGATGTATGGAACTTCCGACTGCTTCGTAAGTGCTTTTGGAGAAGCCACCAATGAGCTGGATGATTAAAGAGAGAGAGCAATGTTTAAGTATTTATACATTGTCTATTCATTTTTCTTTTCCTCTGTCTCATTTGCAACCCTAAATGTGCTTATTTACATGGTGGGACGAATGAGTATTTGTTACATCACCACCTACAACTAGAATATGAACCAGTGTTGAGGATGACACATTTCTTCTTTTTATGGGTTGAGAAGATGACATACTTTTTTCTGTCCAGCTACATTTTTGTCTACATTGAAAAAAAACATACTTACTTCTCTTTGTACAAATATTATAGTTCTGCTAATTTATTTAGGGAATAAGGTGTCAAAAAATCAGTTGGTACAATGGCCCAGTTATGACTGGTACTGTTTTTGACAGACCTATTGAAATCAATAAAAAAAAAAAAAAACATAAATTACTTGTAAAAATAAGCCGAGGTGTTTTGTTCTTCTTGGGTACCTTTGCAAATTATTTGCACAATATATAAACAAATCTTGTCTGGACCTGAAGTAACGTCATGCAGCAGCATATTAGGGTCGGTTGTAAATGTAGAAGGTTTATAAGACTCTTAAACATGAACTTCTTGGATTTTATTGTTTGCCAAATTTGAATTTCAGGTGGACTGACTATAAAATCTTGAATATTCAAATCTGTTAATAAATGTGAAAGTGAACTTTGAAGGGGGTAAGAGTTTTTTTTCTGTTTAGGTCACCGATTATGTGTCTTTAAACTGTATACTTAAAAACCATATATCATGTGGCCTAACCATTGGAGAACATTTTCCAAGATATGCATCTCATACATTGGCAGATTCTTATCGCATGAAGAGTTAATGTAAAATATTTTGTCATGTAATCTAAAAATGTACTTTATGGGTTAATATCTAAACATCGAACTTTTTATTGAAGTCAAAAATGTTTATACAACTGAATCTAACTACAATTAAAGTTCTTGATTGTTTTGATGTTACAAAAAACATAAGCTGGGAGATGAAATTATTGCTCATGTGCCACATTTGGGTCTTCAGTTCAGTCGACTTCTTTTCATCATTAAATCAAAAATTGACAGTGTGCCACCTTTTATTTTGTGTCATAGATATCATTATAGAATGAGAGCAGAAGAGAAAGAACACTACTTAAACGGTTTTAAAAAACATATTTATTCTCAATGTTGTACAGAATTTATTTTAAGCAGTCTTTTCATTATTTGATGTGAACATCTATCACGTGGCATAACCAATGTTGAGTCCAACAGGATTTGAAGAATAACTAGTCAGGACCACTGGTTCAAAATTGAGAGTATTTACTAGAGATCAAGTACACAGGGTAGTAAATGAAGAGAAGAACCCCTCCCTTTTCTTCAGTCATCTTTTATACTCTTTAATAAGAGTGTGTGCCTACATATTCTGTGTTATGTGCGTGACCATTATCATACCATACCGTACTTTCCCAGCCAATATCTACGAAAAAGCTTGAACATTGCCAAATACTGCATGTGCATTTTACAATTTTAAAATACAGAGTAAAAATGGTACACCACATCAGCATTACAGTTATTTCCATGACTATTAAATTTTAAAATAAAAGATTTTTGAAAAAAAAAAAAAAAAAAGGCATATAACATCATTTTTAAAACATTTTCATTTTTGAGACTTTTAGATCTGTAAACTACATGAAGAGGGAGCCATTATGAAACAAATGTTAGATCAAGGCTTACAGAAATATATACCATAAAACAAAAGCTAGAAATGTTTTCTTAACATCTTTCTGTAATACTGATATGTTGTTAAAACCTCAAGCACAGTAAAGAAATATAGAATATAGTAATTAGTAAAAATAACAGTTGAATGATCCAATTCATTTTGATTCACTGACATTGAATCAAACATTGATTTTAAAAATTTCTTTTGTAAAAAAAAAAAAAAAAAAATGCCCATTAAAAACTCAAACTAAAAACGCACTGTATTTACTCCAGTAGAAACCTACCCTTTGCAAGCGCTGGAGTTATATTTGAAGCCTCGAATCTTTTGTGGAGTGTTGCCATTTGAGACCTCGGAGGAGACGTGATATGAAGAATCTGAAGCCTCTTTATCAAAACAGCTCCATCTGGCCTTCCCGCTCTTCTTGCAGCAGAAGTAGTGACTGGTCTTAATAGAGAATTCCTGAGTACAGTAGGCAGACAGACTCTTCTTCCACTGAATGATTGGAAAGACAAATCAGAAATCAGAAATAAATATACAAAAGGAAAAACAATGAGGTACATCTACAATGAAAAAGAGAGGCCGCAACAGTCATGAGAGAATTATACACGCACAAACAGTCAAAGCCGTTTACTTTGACAACGGTCCATTTCAGACTGCCAATGTTTTGGATGCTTTGGCACCAAAGACTAAATATTGAAATGAAAACAAAGAGAGATTTTGTCTAAAGACCTTGATTGTACATGAGTGCAGATCTGTCCCTGGTGCACAACAATGTCCATATAAAGACAAAGTAAATAACAGAACTGAGCAACATCAAAAAATTTAAGTCAATGTAAATACAGTAAATTACAAAGGCAAAGCAGGGGAAAATAAGTATTTAACGGTCTTTCAAATATTATTTAGTAAGAAATGTACTTTCTGGTGAAATGCTAGTCCTCCTAGATCTGTGGCCTCTGCTTTAGTAATGTAAGGAATCTGAAAGCAGTTAAGAACTGGATTTAAACCAGATGTGAGTGTAAACAAACACGGTGACTCTGTAGCGCTAAAACTGTTTGAGAAAGGCTACGCAGCCTCAAATAATGGTAGAGGTTTGGCGCTGGATTAACAAATGACAGGCGTGTTTGGGAAACCTGTTTGGAAACAGGCAATAGAGTGCTGCAGGGATGACATGTTAGCACTAGAAACAAGTTAGCATTTCAGACCTTCTGGTTCCATCATCCTGAAGTCAATAGGTTGAAAAACACAAGTTTTTGGTTATGGCAAGCTGAACAAATTTTCATGCTTTATTCTACAACATAACATGCATCAGTAATACCCCCTTTAGATTTTTTTTTGTTTTTTTACAGCGTTTACTTGTATTAAAATAGGTGGTTGCTAACAAATGGCCAAATGGGACTACAGAGGCTGTTGTGGACATTAAAAATCATTATACAAATTAATTAACAGAGTTTACCTTACACCTTTACGTTTAAAAAAGATTTACAGAAACTCCTCTGATCTTTGTTTTAATTGCAAAAAGCGCAAAGGAACATTCCGTCACTGCTTCTGGTATTGTGACAAAATCTTTTCTTTTTGGACTAAAGTACATAATTTTTTACAAAGTCTTTTTAAGTTGAAATTTTGTTTTTCTCTGGAACTGTATTTGTTATACAGTGGAGTGGAGACTGTGTTTGACTTCCACACCAAACAACTGTTTCTAATTTTGGTTTATCTGGCAAAGAAATGTATATTGTTACTGTGGTCATCTCCTCAAGTACCCTCTTTTAAAATGTGGTTGTCTCAAATATCTACGTTACTTCCACTTGAGAAACTCACCTTTGATATACATCAAAAGTCTAATGATTTTTGGCAGATATGGACACCTCTCTGGTGCTACATTAACAACCTCTCTTGATCTTCTATTCTATGGTGCATATTTAGCCTCTAGCCTGACTGTATTAACTTTTCTACCTGATTGTATGCTTCTTATTGTTTTCCATTGTATAGCTGAGACTGTATCTGTATGTTTATGTGCATTAGAATAACCGACTAATAAAAA